GCGGGAAGGGTAGAAAACACGATCCCATTTTATAGACGGGTAACTGAGGCTAGATATAACTCTAGCCAATTGCGTAAGGTCACAGAGCCAGGACCAGAATTTGGGTGGGGGTCTAACTTCCCGACCTCATCCTCTGGGTGACATGGGCAAGGGCTTCCTTCGGCCTCCCTCTTCTGGCTCATTCCCAGGAAGCCTTCTCTCCTGCAGGGGAGCAAGAATTCACCTGCCCTAATGAGTGAGATGAGGTCTGGGAAAAGGCCACAAAGCAGAGGCATGGAGGGAGACAAGAGGGCAGCAAACCTGAGGATTTTTAGAGTAAAAAATATGTATAGGGGAAGGGTCCTTTCTAAACATATTTCCTTTTGGCCTAGATTATTGCAAGACCCAAATGGGAACCTACCCCTTCTCCTCTGAAAGAACCAAGGCCATCTCCTTAGCAGCCAAGACCTGCCTCCCTGGCTCCTCCCAGAGGTGGGTGTCTAACCAGGGGCACATCCCCTGTTTGATCAGAAATCAATTTTTTTGGAATTCTGTGATGGTGAAGAAGGCATTTTAAGTCCATAGATAGTGATGTTACGGAAGCACCATGGGCAAGGGAGGCAGTCTTGGATCTAGGTGATGTGTCCATTCCTGTGAGGACAGCCCCCTGCCCCTCAACCAGGATCGGAAGGTCCAATGTAATCAACCTGCCACCAGGTGACTGGCTGGGCCCCCTGGGCAGGTGTGACACTGGGGGCTCACCTCTGGTCTCCCCTGTTTGCAGGTGAGGCATGCTGCAGGAGCTGTACCATGCCCCCTGCCTGGCCTTTGTAAATACCTAGTCGCAGAACTCTGTCTTGGTACCATGCCCAGATGGTACCTGAAGCTCTCAGGGACTTTAGACCTCATGAAAGGCTCCTTCCCATGGGACACAGGGCATTTGATTTCCTTTCTCTAGAGTGCTGTGATATCATAGTCCACCAAACGGCACTCAGAGTGTACCAGCTTGTCATGACAACTCCAAACCCCCGTCTGAACAACTCTGTCTATTGGTTTATAAAACCACTGAAGCAAATCAGCTTGCAAGCAACCCTGGCAGTTCCCCTATCACTGGATTTTACTGAGTCAGGGCTATGAATGTGATATTGACTTTACCTCACACTTTATGGGAGGCATGAAAACAGCCCCTGCACTTGATCTTAAAACAGTCATATTTGACAGTTGGTGGCTCTTGTCAAAATAGAAGCCTCTTCATGTGCCCAAGGGGCCACACTGCCATTTTGGAAATCTGAGCTTTTGATTCATTGCACAGTAATGAATTCGCCCGTCTTTCTACATGGTCCTTGACTACTAGTCTCTGATGCTTACCTAGTGAGGCTTTTTAAGTTCTGTCAGAATGTTTTTGTCACCATGTTCCTGAAGTTGCAAGGATTACTAAAACTCCCTAAGAATAAAGACTTTCACCACAACAAAAATCTCATACACAAACATAAAGTGGATGTTCCCTTGTGTACCAGGCAATGTTCTGGGGGTTTTACATCCTGCATTCATTTCTTCTTCATTTGTTCATGCTGTGATGGGTCCTGAAAGCCTACTATGTACCAGGCATCCTTCTAGGATGCAGGGAGAGGCTGCCGCGTCCCTGCTCTGGTTTAGTGGGGAAATAGGAGCAAGTGAACAGAATGATAAATCTACTGAATAAGTAAACCAGGAGTGGGTGGAGGGGAAGGGGCGACTTTGGAAAAGGAGCTCACATATGAAGGGCATACTTGCTTCCTAGGGAGCTGGGATTGGGCTGGGACAGGAAGCACATGTGTGTGTTGGCATCTTGGGGGTGGAAGACTAACTAAAGTTCAGGGGCATGCATTGGGGTGCCCAGCTTCCATTGGGAGCTTTTCAAACCCATGTGATTCCCTTTCTCTGGGCTTTTGCTCTCTTCTGGAGTTTGCACCGACTATGCTCCAGCTCATTGCTGAACGATAATCTATATATATAAAAGGCTAATATGCTAAGTGGCCAACCGTCCAACTGGTCGCTATGCTGCGTACTGATCACCAGGGGGCAGATGCTCAACACAGGAGTCGCCATGATGTGCACTGGCCATTTACAGAGAAATGGCACTGCGGACCTGGCACCCACAAAGTAATACTCGGCTTCCCCCAAGTGGGACACAGGCTCCGCCTCCACCCCGGAACAACAGCCCACCAAATCGCAGCCAACGCTACAGAGACCCCATGGCGCAAAATGCGGCCCACAGCCCAGCCCAGCTCAGAAACTGTGGCTGTGGGCGCCGGGTAATGACATTACGTAGCAACATCGACTTTCTCTCCCTAGCGACAACTAGCCTCCTTGCAGTTTCTTCAGCCCAGGAACACGACTTGCTTTAGAGCCAGGTGGAAACATTTCACATTTTAACCAAATGTCTGTGCAGCATTTTCCCATGTCTCATCTCATTTGATCCTCACAGAAGTCCTGGAGTAGGTAGATAGGAGACTCAGTGGAATCCCATTTTCTTTTCATTAGCAAGACAGTGGAGATTTAGAAAGTTTAGAAACTTGACCTGACTGAAAAGAAGTAAGAAATGGTGGACCTTGAAAATCACTTCATGTTTTCTCGCTGCACAGACTATATAGTCAAACACTGCTGCAGTTAAATATTTTACCCTTTGTTCTCCCTGTGTGATCTACAATAATAATCTGCTTCGTGTTGATATTTACTGCTGTGTTGCTGACAATTACCTGAAAGAGAAGTTGGGGTGCTTCACTGGGTTGGAAAAAGTTTAGCTAAATTAGAAAGCAGGTCTAATTAAGCAAGTTTATTCTATATCTATAAAAGGCTAAGCTGACTCGTGCATGCCTAATACATATAAAGCTCTCACTGGTGCCAGTCGCACGCGTGTGTTTTAATCTGTCATTGTCGATCATGAATTTGGTTGACACTTCTATTATAGAGAAAGGGTGAATAGCGATATTAAAATATTTCTTCTAATTAATTTCCTTTCAATGTGCATGAATTCGTGCACCGGGCCACTACTCTATTCAGAAACATTTATAGAGTCCTACTGCATGTGGAGCAAGCATCATGCTGTTTATTGCCTGTAATCCTCCCAAAATCCATGCAGCAGCCCGCTGACCAATGGATAACCTTTCTCCATCAGGTTGTTGACTCTCCTTATTTTATTAAGTTCTCAGACACTTTCTGGGCAAGCTCTTCTGTTGCATCAAGCAATTTATTTTGGGGCCAATATGACCCCGTTTTAATGATTTTAGCCTTGTAGTATAGTTTAACTTCCTTCTTTTTTAAAATTTTATTTTTTATTGACTCCAGAGAGGAAGGGAGAGTAGCAGGTGAGAGATAGAAACATCAGCGATGAGAGAGAATCATTGATTGGCTGCCTCCTGCACGCCCCACACTGGGGATTGAGCCTGCAACCCGGGCATGTGCCCTGACCAGGAATCCAACCATGATCTCCTGGTTCATAGTTTGATGCTCAACCACTGAGCCACACCAGCTGGGCTAGCTCCCTTCTTGAAACTCCCCCTTTCTTGGTTCTGAACTTGCTGAGTTTCTCCCCACTGATACTTCTCCCCACCCACACACTTACACTTTCCCCTTCCCTCCCCATCTCCTCTTCCCTCCTCCCCTCTCCTTCCTTTCTCTCTTTTACCCTCCTTTGCCAACTTCTCCAGGCAAATCCAGGCCCTCTGACCACTCCTTTCTTATGTGCTAGGATAGATTCTTGGCTTAGCCCTGCTCACAGCCCTCCCCTCTGCCCAGGCTTCAGACAGAAGGGGAGAGGGTGGGAATAAAGGCATCCCTGTGCTGCAGGAATGGAGGGTTTCTCTAACCACCTGGGTGCCATGGTGGGAGGGAGGGAGAATTAGGCCCAACTGCAGGACGCTCAAGTCCCCTGCTTGTGGTTTACAAGATCCAGCCCAGATGCCCTGTGGCCCCACTCTCCTCTGCTCTCCGCTGTTCCATAAACTCAGGGGACACCTCACCCACCCTGTGCTTGTCCTCTGGCCTCCAGGAGGGCTCCTCTGGACATTCACATCCCTGATCCAGCTTGTCATTTAGGCCTCCCCTTAAAATGGCACCTCTGCCATGAGGCCTTCTGAGGATGACAGGCCCATATAAAGAAGCTCCCGTGACACCCTGTTTTGTTCCCTCACAGCATTTGCCCACAGTGGCAATCATAAGGCTTCTATTTGTTTTTCTGATCCTGCTTCCACCTTTCATTGGGCTACACGCGGTGTGCGCGGAGAAACCTCCCAGGACCTGGTCAGGGAACATTGCCCCGCTGGGTAGAAGCTTGCTCCTGAGGGCATAGTCATTCATTCTATGAATGAGAACAGAAACTCAGGCACGACAGGGAAGGAGGGCCAGGAGCATGAGTTAGGAGCGAAGCGAGAAGCCAGGATTCGGATTCCGTGCTCTGCCCAAGTCCCCAGCCCTCGGTTCGCCCAGGCTGACTAAGGCGGGGCTGGCCCAGGGCCCAGGGAGGCGAGCGCCCGCCGTCCACCGAACCCAAGGGAACTGGGAGCAAGTCACTACCACGGAGCGGGGAGCTTCGCGGGGCTCTCGGCCTGGGCCAACCCAGCAACTTGGATTTTACTTAGGAAGCGCAGACACTGGGTCGGGAGGGGGGCAGGAGAAGCAGAGGGAGACCCCACTCCCGGCTCCCTCCCCTTCGCCCCCCACCTCCGCTCCGCCCGGGGAAAGCCCGGCGCCCACGGGAGCGCGGGGAGTCCCGCAGCGCGCCGGCCTGAGCGGCGGCCCTGGCGCTCCGGGCCGCGGGGCGCGCAGGGGTGGGGGCTGCGGGAGGGCGGGGCGCCGGCGGGGCGGGGCGGGACGGTGCGGCCCCACCCCGCGAGGCGTGCAGGAGGCGGGTTGCGCTCGGCCCGCGGCGCTCCTCGCTCGCGGCGGCTGGTGCGGGCTGAGGCTGGAGCAGCGGGAAGGGGGCGGTGGGAGCGCGGAGGAGGGAGGAGGCGGCGGCGGCGCGTGTGGCGGGCGGGCGGGAGGGCGGTTGGCACCGGCTTGTAAATAAACTGCGATGCTGTCTCTGGCTCGCCGGCCTGGGTGCCGCCGCCGCCCGGGAGCGCGGGTGCCAGGCTCCCGCCGCCGCGCACCCTAGCGCCTCCGCGGCAGCCTCGCCCGCCCTCGCGCGCTCCCCGCAGCCCTCCCGCCTGCGCCCCCCGGGGTCCCGCGGCTGACCCGCGCGGAATGTGACCCCCTTTCACCCTGCCCGGCCTCCCCTGACCTCCGGGGGGCCCGCCTTTGCCTGCTTTTGGGGCGGTGGGTGGGGAGGGGCGCGCGGATCATGGCATTGGAGTTCCCGGGCTTGCAGCCGCCGCCGCCTCGTCCACGCACCCCGAGCGCCCCTTCTTCCCGTAGCAGCAGCGGAGGAGGCGAAGCGGCCGGCGGGGGCGAGGCAGATGGGGCTCAAGGCGCGCAGGGCGGCTGGGGCGGCCGGCGGAGGCGGCGGCGGGGGCGGCGGAGGCGGCGGGGCCGCTAACCCGGCGGGAGGGGACGCAGCGGCAGCCGGCGATGAGGAGCGCAAAGTGGGGCTGGCGCCCAGCGAGGTGGAGCAAGTCACCTTGGCGCTCGGGGCCGGAACGGACAAAGATGGGACCCTGCTGCTGGAGGGCGGCGGCCGTGACGAGGGGCCGCGGAGGACCCCGCAGGGCATCGGGCTCCTGGCCAAGACCCCCCTGAGCCGCCCTGTGAAGAGGAACAACGCCAAGTACCGGCGCATCCAAACTTTGATCTACGACGCCCTGGAGAGACCGCGGGGCTGGGCGCTGCTCTACCACGCGCTCGTGTGAGTACCTGGCGTTCGGGGCGCCTCTGGGCGGCGGCGCAGGTTGGGGTTCGGGGTGGAGGCCTGAGATGAGGACCGGGTGCTTGGCATGGCATTGGAGACCAGCCTGCCCCCAGTGCGCGTGTCTCTGCCGGTTTGGTCTGTGTGTCCATTAACCACTCTCTGGGGGTCGGACCCCAAGGCTTAAAAAAGGTCCAAGCGTGGTCCCTCAGACCGTTTGGAGGTTGGATTGGCGTGTTTGCGCATTGATGACACCTTCTCCGGAGGCTGGTATCCAAGCTGGAAAGAATTATGTGATTTTTCCAGGGAATGTGGAGGTTGAGCAGGATAAAGCGGCTCCTCCCTTGTCCGCTATGTTGCTTGGGGCGGGTCCTTTCTCTTGGGATCGCTACTGAGTTTGGAGGATGCATCCTGGAGTTGGGATGGGAGTTGCCCACAGTGGGGTGTGTGTGTGTGTGTGTGTGTGTGTGTGTGTGTGTGTGGCATGTACTCCCCTTCTTAGGGCTGCATCCTGGTCTAGAAAAGGTCCTGGCGTTGCTGTAACTGGGGACTTGGACTGTCAAAGTGCATGTCTTTCAGTTCTTTTTAGGGAGGTTAATGAGAGAGTCTCAGGCTCGATGCCTAGACTGAGAGGCTGGGGCTTACCAGTGCCAGAGGGGGAGTGCCCTGAGGCTTATTTTGGCTGAGACATCTCCCTGGCTTGGTGCTGAGCTCCCCTCTGCCTCCACTGCTGCCCGTTCTCCTGCTTTGGCTGGGCAGGAACACGGTCGAGGTGTGTGTGGAGGGGCCTGGGCTGGAGGTGTGCCCCTGGGCGCCCTTCCCCCAGGAAAAGTCTCCCTGCAGTCAGGAGGTAAATGCCTGTGCACCCCACACTCTGGATAGAAAATCCTCCTGTGTTTGGGGAGAGGGAGAGGATGGGAGAGGTGGCTCCTCCCCCAGGAGGGGAGATCAGGGCTGTAGGCTGACACCTCTGAGCTGGCAGGGCACATCACCCCTTGCCTCCCCTTGCCTCCTGTCTGAGGCTTAGTCATCCTGATGGTTGCTTCTTAGGAGGCCGTACCTTACTGGGGTTTGGGTGGAGAACTGACCATGACCTTGACCCCTTATAAGCGTTTGGCTCTGGATATTGTCTCTGCCCTCCTCCATGATTGATGGGGCCCCAAGGGAGTTCAGAAAGCCTGGAGTTACACTACCTGCCAATCTTCCTGGGTTGGAATGCTTTCCCAGATTTGGCCACCAGGTGGGGTTGTTGGCACAGAACCTCTGAGTTGGCAACAGGTTTCTTTAAAGAGATTACTGAAGCCTGGAGAGGTGGCCTCCCTGGAAACTGAGGTACCAGCAGGAGGGAGGGGGCATCCAGCCAGGAGCATGGGTTTAGGGTGGCCTAGCCTTTGGCGTCCTCATATATTTGCAGGTATAAGCGGTGGAGAGAAGGGTTAGTAGTTATTGCTTTTCCATTTGCTTTTTTCAGGTGGTAAAAAGGGATTAAAAATGCATTCATCTCGCTGTCTCGAGCACTGGATTTAGTGAAATTGAACTGCAGTTAATACTGGAATATGCGATAATAAAAAGGCATGAGTTATTTGAGTGCACACAAACATACACAGACTCACATGTTCTTTTGCACATAAATGGGGTTCAGTACTTATTAGCTAACTTCCAAACCGGGGGGGGGTCCCCCCTGGAGCTTGTGGGCTTAGTCTTTCTTCTCCCACCTTTTCCAGCCACACCCCAGGCCTGCCTTGCCCAGTCTGGGGAAGGGGTAGCTGAGGCCTGTGATTGCCAGAGCCTCCATGATCCTTCCCTAGAATTATCCATCACCCAGAAGCAGGTATGAGAATGCCAACACCTGTAGCCTCAGTTTCCCAGAAGGTTCCAGGAAAACATGAGACTGTGGGAGAGGGAACAGTTGGATACCTAGTGATGCAGCCAGGTACTTTTAAATGATCACCATGGACCTGTGAGGTGGGACTTACCTACATTTTGTAGATGAGAATATGAAACCTTCCAGGGAGAAAACCACCTGTCCAAGATCCCACAGCTAATGGTGCCTGAGCTCACGTCTGAATGCAGTGGGTCAGGGCTGTTTCTGAGCCCGGAACCCCGTTCTGACTCTCTGCCAACAATGACAGGATGCTTAGTATTTTCACTGGGTGCCCCTGCCCCCTTGGTAACACAGGACTCTTACCTCCCTGTAATGCCTCTGACCCCTTCCCAGCTCCCAGTTGGCAAATGACTAGAAATGGACTTTGGAATGAAAACGGGCTGCTCAGAATTAGGGGATGTGGGATGGGCTGGGGGTGGGAATGTGGATTCAGGTTAGTTTGGATGGTGCAGGAAAGCCGCGTGGGGCTGGGTTCAGAGGGTGTCGCAGGTGAAGTAGTGAGTGGGTGACTTGTACATCCTCCTCCAGCTTAGGAGGAAGTCCAGTCAGTTGCACGAAATTGAACCTTTCATTGATGATTCAGGATTTTGCAAGACACTGAAACCATCCATGGATGCTTCCAACCATCCATTATCCTGTCTGGGCTGTGGCTAATGGTGTGAGGGGGCCAGGAAATTGGGCTGACTCTGGGCTCACAGTCTAGTGCATGGTTTGTTTTGTTTGTTTGTTTTTAAATGAACCGAACTCATGAGATGCGATTTTCTTCCCTCTATGGCAGTGGTTCTCAACCTTCCTAATGCCGCGACCCTTTAACACAGTTCCTCATGTTGTGGTGACCTCCAATTTCATTGTTACAAATTGAACATAATTAAAGCATCGTGATTGATCACAAAACAATATGTAATTATATATGTGTTTTCCGATGGTCTTAGGCAACCCCTGTGAAAGGGTTGTTCGACCCCCAAAGGGGTCGCGACCCACAGGTTGAGAACCGCTGCTCTATTGTAAAGGTAGAATACAGCAAATGTGGACACCAAAGACCCCACCCCTTTGCCTTAAATGCCCCTCCCCCCCTTGCTCCTGGCTACTCACTTGGCCCAGCTCTGGGGGAACCTCTGGGAGAAGTTTTTCCCTGACCCTGCAGACTGAGCTGGAATGCCTCCCCCTCCCCCCTGCTTTCAGCAGCATCCCCAGCCCTAGGATTTTGCATGATGCATTGGATCCATCTGCCTGTTCGTCTCCCCTTTGAACTGAGAGCTGCTTGGGAGCAGGGGCTGTGTGTTCCTTAACATCCTCAGTCTCAGCAGGCTGCGGGCCCCTGGGACCCAGCGGGCCTTTCCTGGATGGATGAGTGCAAGAACCCTCTCAGGTTTGCTAAGACTCCATTCCGTACAGCATTCCTATTAGAACAACAACAACAACGACGATACTAGGTAGCCAAGGTTAGCACGTAGGATTTTACTGATAAGAATGGTTCTCAGAGGTCTTACGATGGAACTTGGGGAGGGGAAAAAGGAGGGAGACGATGCCCTGAGCCCAGGAAGGCTGGTCTCTTCTCTGCTTTGTTAGTCTTAGGGCTGAAAGGGATTATGGCACTGTGGAAAGGTGTTGGGCTTGGAGTTCCCATCTGGCCTTGTCCTTAAGTCTGTGCTTGCATGAGCCAGGTTGGGGATGACCTGTCGTTGGGGAGGATAATGCTGCCCTAACACAGGGTGGTTTTTAGACCTAGAGACGATGGTGTGTATGAGTGGAATTGACCCAGCATCAGCTGCTCAGTGTTCATTAGTTGATTTCCAATAGGGGTCTCTGTCACCTTAGTCGTGCACACTGACCACTGTGCTGCCAGCCATCGTCTCGGGACCCCCCTTCCTGGCCTGTTTGGCATTGTTGCTGGATTGGCATTGCACAAGCACTCATGCCCTGACCACCTCTCCATGGCCTGCTGGGTGTGACCAGTCACCCACCTCTCCACAGACCCAGGGGGAAGCAGTCACAAAGACTACCCACTGGTTGCCTTTTCATTTTGCTGCAACCATAGGTTTGACAAGGGGTTACTATCCAAAATACATAGGGAGCCCATACAGCTCAATAGCAAGAAAGCAAATAAGCTGATGGAACCAAAGGGCAAAGGACCCAAATAGACGTTTTTTCAAGAAGATATACAGATGGCCTACAGGTACATGAAAAGGTGCTCCAGCTCACTAATCACCAGGGAATGCAAATTACAATCACAGGGAGGTATCACCTCACACCTGTTAGAGTGGCTGTCAGCAAAGAGACAAGAGTTAAGTGTTGGCAAAGATGGAGAAAAGGGAGCCCAGTGCAGTGCTGGTGCGGTTGTAAATTGGTGCAGCCACTATGGAAAGCAGTATTGGTTGAGCTGCATGCACTTCCTCTTTTTATATAATTTAAAAAATTCTTAAATTACAGTTGGCATACAGTATTGTATTAGTTTCAGGTATACAACATAGTGGTCAGACATTTATATAACTTGCCCTGTCAGAAGGACTATCATTAATAAATCAATAAATGTCAACTGCTGGTGAGGGCGTGGAGAAAAGGGAGCCTGTTGATCAATATGCTGTTGATGGGAATGTGAATTGGTGCAGCCCTGTGGAGAGCAGTATGGAGGTTCCTCAAAAAATTAAAAATAGAATCTACCATATGACCCAGCTACTCACTTCTAGGTAGTTATCTGAAGAAATCCAAAGCACTAATTCAAAAAGATATATGCACTCTGTGTTCACTGCAGTGTTGTTTACTGCCCGATAAACGATCGGATACAGAGATGTGGTATGTTTGCACAATGAACACGCTTGTTTAGATTCATGGATTCCTATAGACCATATCTCAGGTACCTTGGGCTTTGTCCAGGTGAGACAAACACACAGGAAAAAGGTGCATTCATTTCAAGGCCACACATGCCCAGTCAAGTGCAAGCCTTGTGCCAGGCCCTGAGCCACAACGCTGTCCCTGTGGAGAGAGACTTGAAACAACGGAATTGACATAGTCCAGCAAATGCAAGACAGAATGCGATGAGGAGCCGAGGCGAGCAGACGGGGGAGGGCACTGGGAAGCCGCCTGCGTTGCGTCAGGAGAAGGATTTGGAGATGGC